ATTAGAAAATCCTGAATGATCTTATTTTAATTCTGGTATATCTGTTTTTTGTTAACAATTTTGAATTTTTATTTTTAATTTCACAAAAATCACATATAACCTTTTCTGTATTAAGAGCTTCTACAGTCCTTAATTTGACCTTGCTTAGTTTAGCTTAAGTAGATTCAACAAGTACTATGAACAGAAGTATATAAACCCCTGTGACATTTCAGCGAAAGATATAAAGAAGAGATAACATATGTCATGTGGGTTAATTATTTCCTACTATTTGTGAGTTATTTCATATAATAGAGCTGTCTCTCTATTATGAGAGATTGTGGCAGCATGAACAACTGCAACAAGTGTATCTCAAATCCAGTATGTCCTTAAAGATGGAACTGGGACATATTGGGTATTTGATCAGGGAAATAGAAGATGCAGCTTAACTGCACAAACAACTAATTATGCCTGCTGAAAACTGAATCACCAAAATCAAAAGAAGGTCCACTGGGTAGCTCACATCTGAAATTCCATATTATTTTCTAGTAAATCTTACAAATCCAAGCCTTGTTTTGATAGAGGATGCATAAGGAAAAGCCAAACGCATTGTTCCTTTCTCTCTGTAATGGCCACATGTTAAATAGGCCAGGGTTCCTGGACTGAAAGCTCTGCAGTGATGAGAGTTAGCAGAGAGCCAGGCAGGGGGTGCCCCCCTTTGTTGCTGCTTTCATTTTTAAAATGAATCATAATTTCTGCATTGGATACGAAGATGGGTTTATAGCTATTAGCCATCGTATTAATAATTTAGAAAATACATGCCCAATCACTTGTGTTCTTTCAATTCCCTATGAACACAGCTGCAACCCACATTAGAAGCGAGGGTGAATGGATATTTTTCAGATGAGATATTTGGGCTGAATTATTAGGGTAGCCTGTACTACAAAATTACTAATAAACATTGCTTCTGGCTCAATTTAGCCTGAACTCAGTGAACCTAGCCAATGGTGACAAATCAAAAACTCTGAAATACCCGATGAATGAATCTAACTAATCAAGGAACCCTGTAGGAAGTAGATGCCAGGATTAATGAGCCAGTAGTTTCACCATGCCATGCTGTTATTTCTTCACATAAATGCCCTCAGATGAGATTATCTTTATGTCATGAAAGGGAGAAAAGGAAGGTTACATTCTTTCAACTGACAGGTTAACTACAGCCATTACTAGAATACACATCCTTGTGGGCTAAATTTTTTCTTGATCCCAAAAATTAAAATGTAAAGTCACAATACAATTAAAAACACATTTTCATTTTCAGGGAACAAGTCATGGAGGGCATCAAACATAAATTGCCCCAAAGTCAAAATTTAATCTGTATTTCCTCAGTATAACTGTAATCATACCTACTTTAATTTACCCAAACTGCTCTGTGTCCTATTTTGTATTCAATATCTAACATCATCTTTACCAGGTTGCAACCTATATCATATTTCTTCTGCCACCAACAAAAGGTAAGTATAATATCATTACTGTGCCATCACTTGTATGCCATATGATATTTAGTATCAATGTTAAGAATAAAATAAAGATACAAGGATGAATGTATGTACTAAATAAATCACACATTTATAACGGACTTTGACCTTTTTTGGCTAGCACATGGTGACAGTATTCAGTCCCAAATAGGTCACTCAGCAAAATGTACAATTCATCATTTTGTACTTGCCTGTCTTACGTTCTGATATTATTCAGCATTATTTATTCCTTATTAAATTTACTTATAATTTTAAGTTTTGAGTCACAATTACTGTTAATAATGACTAAAACATAATATGAAACATGATTTGTGGTTAGATTTTTTTCCTCTCAAAAAAGCAAGAGTCTTTCAGGCTAGAGAATGTGATTCTCATTCTCTGCTTTTTATCTTGCTAACCTGTCAACCTTAACAATTTAGGCCTTCCTTTGTCCTAATAGCATATATAATAACTTTAAAATGCTCAGGATTCTTTATACAAAAGCCTATTGCCATAGAAACAAATATTATTCCAGAGTCAGGTCCAGTGAAAAACTCTGTATACTTTCATTTTAATACTGATAAATAATCACTATATTATGAAATACAAGTGTCTTTGAAAGCTTCTATCACTTTAGTTGATTTGCAACTTCTCATCAGTGTTCTGAGTTGGCCTATTTTTTCAAATGAAACATTCCATTTTCCTTGCCTTTGAGAAATACAATTTTTAAAGATTCCATTTAGCATCCTTTATTGCATTCCTACATCATAAAGTTATGCTTTATAGCAGCATTAAAAAGCTGTAAAATTAGCATCCTTGTAAACAATCTTCCATGCTCACTGGTGGAGCAATCTGTGATTTGTATTGATCTCTTAAATGTGACTTGAGATTACAGTATCCACGATTTCCAATGGAAAAAAGAAAAAACAGAGTACTAACATAAGACAAGGGAGAATATGATGAAATGTAAAAATAAGGAAGAGTAATATTCATCTATTGACACTGTAGAAATCTTAAGGTTGTGTTGCTAAATTCTAGAGTGCATTCTAAAATACAAAAATGTTCTATTTTTATATGAAATCTCCAATTAGCATGTTTTTTCTCTTCCTTAATGTTATATCAAAACTATTCTTTAGAAAATGTAGAACTGAAATATTCAGTAAATTCACCAACTTAACTCGAAAATTCCTAAGGTAACATGAACATATGGTTTCATCAGAAAATCATGCCTTTTTGTCCTCACTCTGGGAAGATTTGATCGTGCACAGTTGAGTAATGATTATAATACCTGTAGTTCCTAAAATTCACATGTAGCCCAGTGGTACAAAACCATATTCTAGGACAAGGTTGTTTTTAGGGTTATTCACTGTGGCAAACAAATGTGAACTCTTCCAATGGGAAAATGAGTGCCCTCTCAGTGCCCATAATGACCACTAAATTTCAAACCACGAGATTGATTTTGGTTAGTTTTCCAAAGCAAGCTAGTGATACTGATCTGACTCCCAGTTTAAGGGACCAGCAACCTCCCCTCTTGGACTATCGGAAGAAACGGCAATTTTTACCACTACTGGGAGGAAATCCCCGGAGCATGTGGCTGACTTCGAGGTTAGCCTCACTAAGCTTGGTCTCCTCCAGGAAAGCAGCCAGAGCAGCCGCAGGCGGCCTGACTGGCACTTGTGCCACGTGCCCCACTGGGCACCGGGGCATCTGAAGCCCATCCGGGATGTGGATGTGGCCCTCTTTGGAAAGGCCCAGACAAGGCGTAAGCTCCCGAGGGAAGAAAAGAGCCAGGGCCTCTGGCCATCCACAGCGTACCTGGGACCAGGCACGGGTCCGGGCGCCCGGCCCAGAAGGTCTGATCAGGGTTTCTCAGGCCTAGGGGTCACCCGCGGTCTCCTCTCTCCCAGAGTTTCCGCTGCCGCCAGCGGGAGGCGTCCTGGGCTCCCCGGTCCGAGTGAAACCTTTTACACTTGGGACCTTGAGTTCCGCGCCCGCAGCTGGGCCCGGAGCCTAGGGTCCGGCCGTGGTGCTCCAGATGGTTCCTCAGCCACGCGGCGCCGAGCTTGTGAGGGGAGCTCCCGGCAGGGCCTCTGCACTTCCGGCCTACGGCCCCTAGGGCTCAAGCCCAAACGCGGCCTCGCTGTGGAGGGCTTACAGTGTAGCCTAGAATCCGAGCCCAAGAATGCCGAAGGACGAGGGCCCACGTGTCCTGAACACTGCATCCCGCTAAAGGAGCGCGAATAAGGAGCTCAAGACTGGCCCGCTCCCCTCTCCCCATTCAGTGTCACACCAAAGCCCATCGTTGTCCATATCACATACTGAAAATGATTTTATTTTATCCATTTACATTTAACTTGATATAAACTTGTCCGGAAAAGTCAAATAATATGCTTTATATTAGCTCAAACATTTATTTAAGAAACCAAATTCCATAAATAAGCACAGACAATAAGTTAAACATATCACAAATTGACCAGTATGTAACAAGAATGCTTTATCTACACAAAACATCCTATTTCACATGTTTGTTCATTCTTAGAAAGCGCTTCTGTTCTCTGGGTTGGGATTTGACCAGCACATGCAGAAAGAGCTGATTGTGTTTCTCTGTACAAAGTTGGAGGGTTGTAGGTGTCCCCGTGCGCCAGTGGGCGGCTGGCAGGTGGCCGCGAGGCACGAGAACCACAGGACGACCACAAAATAACCAAGGGCACAGAGCATCGAGAAGAGAAACGGAAAAGGAAGCAAACAAACCCCCAGTCCTGAAGGGTCCAGAAAAGAGATGTGACTTCTGCTTTTACAATAGGAAAATCTGCTTACATGTTAATTTTATTCCTCCTTAGAAAGACTTATAAAATGGGTAAAATCACTTTGCTTCATCGCATAACTGTTTTAGTCTACTCCAGCCACCCAGAGCACTGGCATGTTCCTCCTGAGAAACCTCCCCTTCTATACCCTCACACAGTTGTGCTCAAAATAAAAATAAGACAGAAGAAAGCCTTGTTTTGCAAGCCAGTAGAGGGCTGCCAGGGTGTACCCAGAGATGGGCAGGTTGGTGGCAGAGGAAAGAAAGAGGGGCCAGAGCAAGAGTACAGGATGGGTCAAATTCTATCAGTGGGGCCCTCAGATGAGGCTGATGCTTGTCCTCTTTTATGACAAAGTCCCTAACCTTGTGCTGTCCCGTGAACACGTCCGTGTGTGACCGAGGTGCACTGTGGATGCGTGTGCGCGAGTGTGTGTGTCGTGTCTGAGCGTGAGCGAGAGTGAGAGTGTGTGTTTCTGCCCACAAACCAGTCCATTGGTGTCTGATTTCAGATCCTGAGTCGACTCCCTGGTAAGTACAATGGCGGGAAGGATGCTTTCTGCCGGGCGCGGGCGGAGGGCGCGAGGCGGGGACATGGGGACCAGGGGAGGCGCGGGCGGGGGAGCAGGCTCCGCGACCCGGGCTGGCGGGCGGCGGTGCGGCGGGGGTGGGCCAGGCGGGCGAGGGCAGGCCCGCGGGAGCGGGGCGGGGAGGGCCGGGGGCGGAGGACGGCCCGGGGTGGGGAGCGTGGGGTGCGCGGGCTTGGGGGTCGCGCTGCATTAGGTGAAGCTCATGGAGACTGTGTGCTCTAGCGCCTTGCGGCGGAGGGAGGCAATGCTCGTGCCCCGCCACACGTCGCTGCTGTCCGGGGAGCTGCAGAGCTGGGGCGACCCCGACACATTGCTGGGGCCGGGTAGGGAGGCGGGCACCATGCCGGGGAAGGCGGGCTGGTAGAGGTGCGACTGCAGACCGGCGCCGTTGGAGCCTGCCAGGCTGTTGGACAGCCCCATGGAGTTGGGCGGCGGCCCGGCCGCCAGGCTGCACTGCGACAGCGACTGCGCCATGGCCTGCTGCCTGCCCAGCGCCGGTGGCAGCGGCAGCTGCGACACGCCCGGCATTGCGGCCGCCGCCCAGCGGGTGTCGTTGGCGTGGAAGGAGCACAGGCTGTCGCCCATCGCTGCGGCTGCGGCGGCCGCGGCGGAGGGGAACTGAGGCAGGCCTGGCGTGGGCAGCAGCGTGCCGGGCGCGCGGAATACGTTGGTGGTCTTCTTGCGCTTCTTCCACTTGGCGCGCCGGTTCTGGAACCAGACCTGGAGTGGGCAGGCAGGGAACGAGACAGGGCGCCGTTAGCGAGCCAGGCGGCCGCGGGAGGCTGGGGCGGGGGTGCTGCCCACAGCCAGCCCGAGATCCGGGTTCTCCACCGGCTCCTCACCCCCACCCAGCACGCACCCCAAACTACAGAGTAGTCGTACCCCCGGGCGCCCACGCACAGTGCAGTCTCACCGCGGCGTACAGTGCGCACTACATCCTTGCACACCAGCACATTCCGTGCAAGGCACAGATGCACAGGTCTGCAGGCAGGCATGTGTCAAGGCTCGGCCCACAGGTGTACAAATGAAGATAAACGTGCGTACCCAAGTGGCTTAATAGCATGTCTTATAACACTGATGGGTATAGAATTTTCAGAAACGCTGGAAATTTGGAAATTGATAAAGGACCGTGGATGACATAGCCAGTTTCAAAATCGAAAGACAAAGAAAACCCCTAACACCACGGTTGATAGAGCAGAGAGGTTAATATAGTGATCCGTGTGGCCAAGTGAGAGGCACTGAGCTACATTGTTGCTTGGGCCACTAACGTGACTTCTGGTTCCTCCCAGAGCACTTGGTTCTGCTACAACAAGTCTCCTACCCCATTCCCTAACCACTCCTAGGGCATCTTCATCTGGCCTTAAGCGAGTGTGCTACAACCCACTGTTGAGTGCCTTCAAGCCCATTCCTTTCAGTGACTTACTGAGGTCACCAAGTAACAAGGCCTCTAATGCCCTCAAGTCGGCCTCCCCCTTTCATTTATAACCTAAAAGTAAAATTTCGGATCAATACAAATTAAAGCCGATCAAGTTTAAAACTTCCACGAGTTATGAAACAAATTTAATTTTGCTTAAACACCAGATGCCTTTTTCAGGGAGTTGTATTTGATAAAATATACTCCAAATGAAAATAAACTTCCTATTCTTTGGTCTTTAACACAGGCCTAGGAAAATCAGGCCCAATTAGGGGAATTTACCTACAAATGTCAAATTCAGTACCACAGGAAAGGAGTTCTGTCTGGAAGATATAAAATAAGTTGCCTGATCAAAATAACTCCCCCCCACACACACACAAAACCTTCCCATCTCTACCTATTTGAATTTGATCTTTAAGGAAAAATTTCACCAACATGCTTACTTGGCAGACTTGCAGTTTAAAATCTAGTCAGCTGAAGGCTTGCTGTGCCTAAATATAAATGGTATGGGACACACCTCAGACACTGATTGAGATTCCCCTTAGAATTTGGGCAACTGCGATTTTACCACTATATTTGTAGTCTAAATGGTGATTCAGGTCCTTTAATCCAGTAATGTTTACAAGCTAAATTATGAGAGTATGGACATCCCTGCTTTCCTTCTCAAAAAGCCAGCCATATGTTCACACTCAAGCAAGCGAAGACGTACTGTCTACCTACCAGCGTGAATGGCATTGCAGTGTAGAATTATCTCTGAGCCTGCCTTGGCCTTCCAGTCTTACCCACACTTCACCTTTTTCTGCTTGCTATCCCATTTCCTGCATTGCTGCCACCCCAGTATTGGCAATGGGTAATGCACCTTGTGCCTTCCTCACTGCAGCCTCAGAGCTGGTGGTGGTGTAGCCAATTAATGAGGCAAACCGGCCTTTGATGGTAGATGGGATCAATGGGGTGGGATTGAGCTGTTAGCAACCTTCTGAGGAGAGATGAAGGAACCACTGTAAGTCCCTTTTGCTGTGCCCACCCAACACTGGAGAGTCGGACAGGATGGCATCCTTAACAGAAAACCATGTGTCCACGTGGTCCCCATGTCTCCCATGCAGCACTGGATATATTTTGAAATGTGTCTTATAAAATTAAGTCCAGTTTCTAACACACTGCAAGTACTAGTGAATCCTAAAATGTGAGGTTGCTTGGAGGGCATGAGGTGGTGGAAGAAGTGGAGAGAGGAACAGAAGAAAGGTGGAAAAAATGCCCAGTAGAATTTCAATAGCAAACATCACTGCCTCAAAGGTTTCTGAATCTAGGATATGCTCAGACACAGGTGGAAAAGAACAGCTGTTAGAGAACTAAATATTATAGAAATAATCGAAAAATTGTGCTTAATTATGTTTGAGGGTTAGTAGTCAAATGATGGCTACACTCTTTTTTTTTTTTAATGTTTCATGGTTTACTGGGGTTGGGGGAAAAAATCTGCATGGGATCTGAGCACCTCCGTTCCAAGCTATGATGCATATGTTTTTAAAATGTGAATGTTTCCACTTGAAAACTAGAGCATGACAGATTAAAATGCAGGCAAAGCCTAAGGGAGATTTTCAGAATGCACAGATGACAACTCCAGGAAATATATTAACCACAGCCACAGGCCAACTTTGTACTCAGTTTGAAATGCAGCCTTTCTTGGAAAATGCTTAATACAACAGTGAGAATCTAATGGAGGTTGGAATCTAAAAATCCACTTTCATGATATCTGCTGTTACAGTAATATAGACATACTGTAAATGTATTTTAAAATATATAGCCCGTTTAATTCCCCAGCTATAAATGGCTCAGAAATAGAGAAAGAGGGGGGAAAGAAAGAATATTACTTTCCCCCCCTCCAAGCAAATGCTTTATGAAGATCTCACTGGAATCCAGCAAATGATTAATGTGAAGATTTGGGAGGAAATCTGGGGAGCTGTATTAAAGCCTAGATCTCAGGTTCATTTCGATCAGCCAGCCGTGAACTCTGGGCCGAATTCATTACACTTTAATAGTGCTGGGAGAGGGAGAAAATGCAATTTCTCATTCCATTAGAAAACTAGAAAATACTCTCAGCTTGTCCCCCTATTAAGATGTGGCAGGTGACAGGGCCATTCTGGGGGACATGGTCAGTGGAATTACACCACATTATTTTTGTTCGTATAAAATATTGAAAGGCAAGCCTGACTGTGCAGAAGTTATTTCACTGATTTGGTTTTTATGTAAATAAAATATTGAAAGTTAATTAATCCGTGCTAGAGACTAATGATTATGCTTATTATATTGCATTTGATCGCATAATTTGCATGATTCTCGCATTGCTGCTTAATAAGCCATTCCAGGTTATAAATAATTCTGAAATTGGTTTCTAATAATGGCATGCTATAAAAGGAATGGTTTTATTGCACTAGCCAGAAAAGGGGAGCAATATCAGATATGGAATTGGCCTCCCTGTGAGTAGAGGTACTTTAATACTTAAAAGTGTGATATATAATAGATATAGATTAAAAATATGAATGTTAGATAATTTAGCCTAGAATCAAAAAGCATCTCTGAAAACATACAGTTGCAATAAATTAAATGTTTAGATCATTCTTAATCAGTGCAGTGGCCCACGTACTGAAAAGAATGTGTGGCAATCTGTTAACCATAAAGAAAACTATGAAGTACTTATCATATACCAACATAAACCAATTATCATTTAATTTGAATTTGGTCAAGGAGCAATAGTACAGTGAATTGTGAAGTAAATACATTTTCCATAAATTATTTTTGCATTACATTACATAATGTTAATCATCTTGAAATGTTAATTAAGAAGGTTATGTTGATCTGATTACTTTTTAAACTATGAAACATTATTTTTAAAAATATTGAAATTGCCATTCTATTAAATTGTTTCTATCAACAGCCTCAAGCTATTATCTTCGGTTGAACATTATTCTAGAACAATTAAAGTACTTTATCTCTTTCTTCTCCCATATTTTTGTGTACTTTTTGCAAATAACTATTTCTATGATATAGTTTATATTTTATTTCATTTACAACTTTCTCCATTAAAAGAATAACTGTCATTAACCTTTGGAAGACCTAATAAAGTTTAATAGACCTCATTTTCTTTTTTCATAAAATCAGTTGTCCAATTATATTTTATTTGTGATTCCAAGTTCTATTTTAATTTGAACTAATTACCAGTCTATCTGGGTTAAGACACAGCATTTAACTCTTTAAAACAAAAATTAATAGTTGTATTTCTCTTGGACAAAAAACAAATTTTGTGAATTTTCAACCTCCAACATTGAACCTACAATTAAGTATTATAATGAGCATAGTATTGGAATTGTATATTTCTATAAAGGATTGAGCTCAAAGCCATGCTTTAAAAGAGGTGAAAGTTTAAAGATTTAAAGGATATT